ATAGACTGCAAAGTGCGTCTATAACTAAGAAACTTCATTGATATAAGGCTACACCGATCACTGTAAGGTGGTAATGGGTCAGCAAAGTGGAATGGTTGAAGGGAAAAACGAAGGTCAAAATTTCTTTGCAACCTTTCCAAATTATACACCGCTATTTTAGCTTTGAACGATCTAAAGAATTGAAAAAAAATTTTCTATATGAGAATTTCTAAAGTTCGTCGTAAAAATGCAAAATTTGCATAAGATTTTGGAATCAAATAATTTATTAACATATGACCACAGACAAAAGGGATTCCAAGAACAGAGAATTCTTTCACTTTGAGAAGGCTCACATTAGAAAGATTACATGAAGTTGGGAAACAGTTTTGAGACTTCGAAAAAGTAATATGGAAGCGTTTCTCAATATTAAGAGAGAGAGAGAGAGTTTTGGATGCTCCGAGAAGTTAAGTTACTTAGACCTTGTATTAAATAAACATCAGATACACAATTTATTTTGCTGAATAGCTTTAAGTCATCGGTATAGCGTAGAAATTTCACGCGCTTAATGCAAATCGAAATGCCATAAATAAATAGTGAAAATAGAATACGACCAAGAATGATCCTCTGGGGAACACCCGCGGCCGCTGTATAAGCATACAACAATCAAAACTCTATTGAACAGATAATATCTCAGAGAAAACTTGAATAAAAACCTAAGCATTCGATTTTCCGTTGCAAAATATTAAGAGAGATCGGATTAAAAGCTGTAGAGAAAACAGAAGTAAGAGCTGAGTTGCAATATTGGGAAAACATTGCTAATTTAGCAACTGTAGAGATGCTGGTGTGGGTCTAAAGTACGAATAACAATTTACTCAAGGAGTAATGGATGCGAGCTTTCATGGCTTATATGTTTATAGATGGACAAATAACATTTTTCAAATTATAATGACAAAGTATAATATCAAGTGAAAGAGAGATGGTAGAATTCAAAGACGAGTCAACAACTTCAGAAAAAAAATTGATTTGAAAAAGTTAGCAAAAAGACCTACCGACTCGGATAAGCTTTTGGAAAGACATCATTCCATTTTCATATGTTTTGTAATATTAGACACACCTTTTTAGTCCTGATATATTTCTAGAGTGCTTTAGGATTTGCTATCAATTCCTCCTCAAAGCGAGTTATATACTAGAGTTCAAGATTTTGTTCGAACATTTTCGAGCTGCTCGAGCATTTGAGCAACGAGTATTCGCCCACTCGTTCACTGCTGATTGCCCGAAAATTTGCGAGCTTTAGCTTGAGCATTTTAAATAAAAAAAAAGACTTTTTTCACAGAACTCTCTTCTATAATTTCAATATTATTTATGCAAAGTGTAAAATTCATTGAAATACTAAAGAAATTTTGACGAACAAAATTTAGAATTTAAAAATTGGAAAATATCATTTGAGCAGTTGAGCAACGAACAAGTATTGCTCACAGTGCTCAATACTCTTGTATCTGGAGATCTATTATATATCGACTATATAAAAATTAATCAAGAATATTGAGCTGTGTCTTATATAGTTCAAACTTAGTTTTGAACTTTAAGTCATTTGTTGACTTGTATTGTATTTATAAATTTAAGAATTTATTTTTTTTGAATTTAAATTTTTTAAGATTTTTGGTAGTTTATGAATACGAGAAAAGTGTTTATATCCACACAACTTTTTCAGCTGGAAGTTCACCACCACCATTTTGTTTTCGTAGCGTCCGATAAGTTTTGCCACGCGTTTGCGAAACCATCATTTGTCAAACTTCTCCACGATCCTTCTGGTTCAAATGGTATAATTTCTCAACTGTAGTTATATAAGTCGATTCCTATAAAAAAACAAAAATCACAAAAGATAGTGATGTCATGTAATCACCATAAGGTAATTTCGATGTCATATGGAAGAATAATAATACTTGAGCCGAATTGACCGCTGACGACATACAAATAAATAAAAATTATGTTCATTTAATAAAAAAAAAAATATTAATATTTTCCTAATTGACCTGTTACAATTGACTAACAGTGTACACAAACATTGTAAACTAGAGTTTGCCCGCGATTTCGTCCGCAAGGAGCTTTCAGATGCTTCTAGTTATGTTATTAATTTTATTATAATTTAAAAGCAATCATACATATATAACGTAATTAATTATAAGTAAAGTAAATCATCGAATCGAATTCCACTTCTCAAAGCTACAGTTGTAGAAAATTTTATGCAAATTCGATTTTTCGATTATATGGGTGCCAGGTCTACTTCCAGATGCATACGCCACACGTAGAACACACGCTCCAAGTTTCAGGTCTCTGCGAACCATTGTTTAAGCTATGGGTTGAACCGTCAGTAATTCAGGACATATATTAAACATATGTATACTTAATTAGGTAAAATATAAAATACAGGATACACTTCTTACTTTTTCCTTCGGCACTTTTGAAATTCTCCGACTTTTTTTTACTCTTTTATTGGTTTAACGCCATTTGCAATTTGACGCAATTTTCTACACCTTTAAAAGTTATGGGTTTTTCACAAATTTTTCAATACCAAGTACAGCTAGGTCCTTCTCTGCCTGGTCTTTCCAACGGAGTGGATATCTTTCTCTTCCTGCACCGAAAACTTTCAAAGCTGGAGTATTTGCTTCCATCCGAACTACATGATATAGCCAGCGTAGCTGCTGCTTCTTGATTCGCCTGAAAAAAGCACAACTAACGGCGCGGTTGTTGAGGCCAATAATGTCAATATCATCGACGTGCGCCAGTAGTTGTACACTCTTATTGGGGATTGTGCCTTCTCTATACAGCTCTGCAGCTCTTATTATTCTTTCCAGCATCAAATTGAAGAAATCGCATGACAAACAGTCACCTTGTCTGAAACTTCGTTTGGTACCAAACGAATCGGAGAGCTTCTTCCCAATTCTCACTGCGTTTCTGGTATTGTCTAGCGTCAGCTTACACAGCCGTATAAGGTTTGCGGGGATAATAAATTCAGACATAGCTGCGAAAAGGCAGCTCCTATTCGTGCTGTCGGAGGCGGCTTTAAAAACGGCGAAGAGGTGGTGGGTGTCGATCTTCTTTTCACGGGCCTTTTCCAAGATTTGGCGCATGGTGAATATCTGGTCCATGGTTGACTTACCATGTCTGATGCATCCCGTGTTTTCTCTCCACTGCGACATAGCAGAACTCATCGTACCAGCTGTTTTTACGACCTTTACGAAGTCCAATAGTTTCGTTTGCAGCTGTACGTAGGGAGTTTGCGACGCCGTGCAGGTCCCGTATACCGAGTTGCTGATGAGTGCTCACAGAGAGCAAGAGTGCAAGCCGAGTAGAAAATCGTTCGGCAGTCTGTTGTGATTGCAGTTTTTCAACGTCGAACTTTCTTTGTGTCTGTTGATGGGCGTTCTTCGATACACAGAGGGGCATACATATCTTCGCTGCAACAAGATAATGGTCTGAGTCGATGTTGCGATATCGCTTTGATGCGGATTGTGGCGGGACGCTTATCCACCGGGGTGAATGCCAGTGCTCGAGGACGGAGTCTCTCTCCGACCACAAATGCAACACCAAATTTGCACCGCCGTAGTAAATGTCACAAGAACTTATTCGCTTCAGTCCTTGTCTCGTCCATCGCTTCTTGGATGGTGGTGATGTCAGCCTTTATTTTTTCGAGGTGCTGCAGCGGCACCTTCCCAATTAAGGAGCCGGACATTCCAGGTGCATGCCCTCAAATTTTGATCAACAATTCGTTTGCGGAGGACGTCAACAGAAAAGAGTATCTCATCAGAGGCGTTGTTAAGTTTTTCATTTAAGCTGGTTTTTCCGTGGCGGGTCCCAAACATAGCGCATAACCGCGCTAGGCGCGTAAAATTAATATAGCGAGCCGCTTCAAGATCGGCGCCCGCTCGCTGCCGCACCTATAGTGAACCCAAGGCTCCACACGAGTTGGTTACCGCATCTTGCACGTTGCTCACGTTTGCAGGGTGCGCGACGTGGACGCAAGAGTAGGAGTTGAGTATAGCCTCGCAACTTTTAGAGCATACCCACAAGCTTGACTACACCCCATTACACCAAATATATGTACATTACGAAAATTATATTTAAAAAATTGTTTTTTTTTAATTCTATCTAAATGTAACCCCTTAAGCAAGTATGCTGCCGTGCAACATGTATCTTACATATAAAATTTCGCACCTTTGAGCCCGGGCCTTCCGAAAGCAGTACGCAATGCTACCGCGGCCGTCGCAACACATTCATATATGGTATATATTTCGCAACTGGACCTGTGTGAGGACCTCTGCTCTTGTTGGGGCTCAAATTTGAAAGAAACTTATTTTTCGTTAAATGGGTGCTTTCATTCCTTTTCCACTGAACAGTGCGCAGAGTTGTTTGGGCTATTGGTTTTCAACATTACGCCTGTTTGAACAAAATTTTAAATATTTTGCCGAAGACCACGAACTTACTAACCTATAGTTTTTTTTTGTTTGTTTTTTAAGTTTTAGTTCGATCCGGCTCCATTTTCGTTTCGAGGATCGATGGGAATCGGAGTTCCCCTTGAACTGGAAATTAAAAATTACGTAGGAATTTTTGCAAAGTACTCAGAAAAAAGTAAAATTTTGAAACTTTGAGAAATAATTAAATGTGAAATTTCGAAATAAAATAGAAAAAGCTGCACTCACCAAGGAGATGAATTCAAGCAGAGAGTGTAAAACCGGCAAAAATGGTCTTCTAAGATTACCACGAGGCTAATGGATTTTTCCCATAAATTTGAAGAGTCACCTACATGAACCAAAAGACAGCAGGGACATCTTTTGGTGAATTGTTGTAGCTGCTGTTTGTATTGTTATGATTGTTGTTATATTGTCATTATCACTATTAGTATTATTTTTAGGTTATTAATTTTTTTATCATTGCTATTAACAAGTAATAAAACAACTTTAACTACTTTTTTGTTACCATAACTACTTTTTATTACGATTTTTTTTTGTTTTCTTCATCAGGTCGAAGATCTTTACGAAGAAATACTTTTTGAAATATGTAATCATTTTGGATGTGAAAGTTATGATGTATGTTCTGATGATCTTCTTGACTTCGCTCAGGAAATATTTAAAGTGCCAAATTCAAGGCATAATGAAATCTTGGATTTGGTTAGACAAAAGGAACCCCCAAAGCTTCGTTTAAATGTGGAGATTATCAAGGCTGAAAATCTGCTGCCAAAAGACGCTAATGGGTTTTCTGACCCCTTTACTACATTATATTTGGAATCTAATGCATCACATCGCTACAACACTTCTGTAAAGCATACGACCCTGAACCCTATTTGGGAGGAGCATTTCTCGTTGTAAGATATTATATTTTCACATTCTTTGTAAAATATTTATTATATGTATGTATGTATAGTATATATTGTAAGAGTAGTTCATAAAAGCAACAAAGAAATCAGCTGAGCGGAGAAATTAAAGAAAGTAGTTCTGTTAGCTCGGCATGATTTTTGCTAGTTCATACGTAAATAAGTTTTTCAAAATCAGTGCTTTTTGCGTGATAACAATTTCAAACGAGATTTCGTGAGTAGTATTCATTTGCACAGTTCAGTGCCGATCAAATGCTAATGCCTTTTGTTAAGGTATGCTTTAATGGAATCGACCCATCATTCCTTCCCTTTCGTAAAGTTGTACTATCTCAAATTGACTGAATCAAGGAAAAAATACTGTTTCAAGTAACTAGAACTTTTTCATTATACATAGATTTGCTTTTGCCGAATCTGAGAAATTTGCTTTTAACACATCTAAAATGTTCTAAAAATTTTAGGTAGCGAACTGACGTATAGCCAATATCTTCGGGATAAAGTGAGAAATCAAACGCTCCGTGCTTGTAAAAAATTTACTCCAATAAAAATTGAAAGCAACATGCCTAGAAGCAGATGCATCACAATTTATGGGCATGATCCTATAGGTTGATGGGTTCGGTTATACATACATACATACAAATGTACATAAGTAGTAAAAGCTTACTTTTTTGAATATTTCGACAATCTTTACTAAATATCGTAAATATCAGTTTTAATATTTGGAATGTATTTACATGTATTTTCTTACTAATGTTATAGGCCTATTACTGATAATCCAAAGGAGGAAGTTCTCGTTGTAGAAATATGGTAACTAAAAATGCTTCTCACACATTTATTGCAATTAATTCATATATTTTGTTTTATAACATCTTAAGGGATTTTGATGCTGCAGAAACCGTTAAAGATAAAGTGAATAAATTGTTTGATGTTAAGGGTGTCAAGGGACTAAGTAAACTTATGAAAGAGATCGCACAAACTGCATCTACGGGAAAACATGATAATGAATTAATTGGACGGGCAACAATTAATCTTAAGGTAGACGGGCAACTTATTTATTGCAATATGCATACATACACACAAACGGATTAATGAATATATTATTTCTAGTCTATTCCAACTTCGGGTATAACTGTGTGGTACAATCTAGAAAAGGGGTCCAAAGGGAAAAGCCGAGGAGCCGTCTTAGTTGGCCTGACCTTGAGTGCAGAAAAAAATAAACGTGTTGCTATTCAAGAACACAGGCATTTGTTAAATATATTGCTTATATATGAGCTGGAGTCATCGCAAGTAGCTGAGTATTGGTGGAATGGAAAATTTAACAAAAATGCAGAAATAATTCGGTCGCAACATGCTGTGCAAAGTGGACTTACTAACTTTGAATGTGCCCTCAGTCAATGGATAGTGTATACGAAGATCCATGAAAATCATAAACTTAGTTTTACCCTCTTTAAAAATATTTTAGATGTTATTATTCCTATATTGAAAATTATTCAAACAGATTCGGATGATCTGAAAATATTTTGGGATGGAGTGAAAAGAGTTCTACCGTCTTGTTTTGCAATCGTACGCAAAACTCGAGCTAGAAATGTTAGTGATAAACACATCGTTAGTACACTGTGCGAAGTTTTGGATATCATTTCAAAAATCAGAACAATGGGAGAACCGCTATTTGACATATTTCCAGAAAACATTTATGGCTTCGTTGTACAAATGGACGAAAACTCAAAAACCATTTTAACAGTTTTGATAGAAGTAATAAATACGAGTACAAAGGAATGGCTGGAATATATTATAGAAGGCAGTAAGCCAATAACTCGCGATGAACCCACCGACGAGGAAAACTTGCAATTTTTGATAAAACTCATTCAAATGGTGCGATCTGATTTACAAAGAGGAATGGAATATTTTGATAAACACTTTTATCAGTAAGTAGTCCCATCTTTGTAAAATGTTTCAGCTGATTTATTTTTTGCTTTCAGAAAATTGAGAATAAATTATTCGGATATTCTCTTCAAGTTTTATGATTCAAATTTATATGAAATTTGTAAGAAAAATGTCGAATCCGTTTGTGCTCATATTAAAAGACTGGAAATAACTGAGGACACGTTTGAGTTTTTAGATCCGTTGGATACCGAATCTTTAAATATGGGGACAACACTTTTTGAACTCTATCTTGTGCTGAAGAGGTTTATCACCCTAGGTAAGTAAAAATATATATATATATATATAAATTTATATATACATATATATATTTGGCGCGAGTTGTTATTAATTGGGCTTAATATTCTTTTTATGCGACTTTTTCTAATTTCCCCCCCGGTGAGCAAAAAGGATATTCACAGTTTTTTATAAAAGAAGTGTTCATTTGTATTTAATAATTAAATTTGCCTTAACATGGCTTGAAAGTACTAGTGGCTCAGCTAATTTGTTAACCAAATAGTTCCAGTGACTATGTAACAGAACTCTTCCTTGATGGTGTGATCGTTTCGGCTGATGCGCTCGTTTTTATTTTAAAAGTCTTAGATTGCATTCTTTTGTATTATTCATATAGGGCGACCGTAATAATAAATATGATTCTGGATTTTGTTGGGGCCAGAACTCTAACCCAGAACCTTCTGTACGGTAGTACGCACTGGTTAAAACTTGACTCATTATTAAGTTTTGTTTTTTACTTTTCCGTGAAGCTTTCTACCACTTCTGGCTTAAATACATCCATATCGGTTTTATAGTCTCATCATAGAGGTATGCCAATCAGCTGATGTGTCGACGGAGTAACCAAATCGAGGATATTTTGTGAAGATTTTCATTTCTACCTCTTTTAAAGATCTTTTAGGCACTTCCAGCTCGATTAATCATGAAGAAGGTTTCTGTAATATGCTTGAATAAAGTCACCCGGGGAAAGAGAGTGGTACACTCTTCATGTATGAATTGGATTGGTGATGGGGTCTACCGGAAGTTTCGTCCATTTTTAGAATATTTGAATATTTGAATACACCAATGATACCTTCCGGATATGGTCATAAATGGTTTCTTGAGCTGAATTAAGCCTTTCAGCGATCTCCGATGTGGTCAGAAAAGGATCTTACACCAGCATTGCCTTAACAACATCGTGGTCGATCAAAGATGGATGGCTTATCTTAAACGCCGAAATCACCTTACCATATTCTGCATATCCTACTTGTAGTATACCCATGGCGTAAATGAACTTTATCAGTCGCCATAATACGAGTATCGTTTCACACTTAAGACTAATGTGAATCAACTTTATTATAGTTTATTTGCTACGTCAGTTTGTATACATTAAGCAATAAAAATATAGAGCCGAAAATGATGTCATAGATTCGGGCACAACTTTCCGGTAGACCTAATAATTATATATATAAATTGGTTTGATTTAAATATTCAATTTAAAAAATTGAATATGGAACCATGTGTAGAATTTCACGCAAGTGAGAAAAGTTTTTGGCTGTCATTCACCTGGGTTCATTCAGCTTATGACTTCCGGTCCGGACCAAGTATCCCTTTGGTAGCCAGCAAATATCAATTTGGAGGCGAGCTAAAATGAGAAGGCGAATCCCATGCGGTTGTCCGTTTGGGACACACGTCATGAAAAATAAAATCCAATGGAAAACCAAGATATGCCTCCGATGACAGACCCCCGCAAACATTTTAAGAATTGCGATTTAAGGGCATGCAGCTGGAATGTTCGGTCCCTTAATTAGGAAGTTGCCACTGCCCACTGGTTGCTGTCCTCAGGCTGACATAGCTGTCGTCCAAGAAGTACAATGGTCGGGACATAAACGGAAGAAGGTGAGTCCTTATGAAATATACTGCAGTGGCCATATAAAGGAGCGAAAATATGGTGTCGGATTCGTGGTGCGAGAGAGACTCCGTCGCCAAGTACTGAGATTCACTCCGGTGGATGAACGTCTCCTCACAATTGTCGGAAAATTCAGCCTCCACGACGAAACATCCTCAAATGGGTTGAGGTTGATCGACTTCACCAGCATAAGAAAATTCACAAAGCTACTTGGCAGTCTCCAAATCTAAAAACCCACAATCATATCGATTATGTTGGGATAGACGGAAGGTATGCATCTAGTGTTTAGATGTATCGCAGCGAAGAAAATTCTTCAACAAAAACAGGCACGGCCTCTCGACTTCCCTATGTATCCCCGCATCGGAAATAATTGGTCTACGGCAGTGCCAGAAAAAAAAACTGGTGCGGAATGTCGAAATGCTGGGGAAAGAACACAAACTACCTACGTCGGAATCGATCGAGAACTGAAGAGAGATGTAAGACGCATTTATAGAAAAAAAAGGAAACAGGCCGAAATGCGTGAGTATGAAGAGCTTGAGAAGCTACCTGATAAAGGTAACGCTCGAAAACTCTAGGAAAAAATACAGCAGCTTACGGAAGGGTTCCATAATGGACCAGACTCTTATAGGACACAGAGGGGAGATCTAATGACGGATGCCAAGAGTGACTGAATTAATTTAATGAAACACCCGGAGATGGTGAACCCGAAATCCCAATCCTATGTCGAGTTTCGTTCAGCGATTGCCTGCAGACGATCTACCGACATCTTCTTTGCAAAATATGGTCGGACGAAAGCATGATTGGTATACTTTGCCTAATCTACAAAAATGGCAATTCCATAGTCTGCGCCAATTATGCTGCGATAAACCTTCCAAAGACTAAAGACCTAGACATAAAGTTGTTTAATGTGCCTCGTAGAACATTTTCTTTGAAATAACGTCGGCCACTTCTTGTTGTTTAAGCACGTAATCGACGTATGTATGGCATGTGTTATTGTGTGAGTTGGATTTCATATGCGTTTAGGTATTTGTCCAAATACAAAATACGCCATAACATTTACTACACTTTGCTCGTTACTCTTACTAATATGAAAATTAACTTACCATATTTTTCAGGTAGATCATTATGTACGAATTACGACCTAGCACTAGAACAATTTTATATTTGGTTTATGCCTGGTGTTACGCATTGGCTTGATATTTCAATTTTTAAAGCTTTGAATCGTATTGAGAGAGCTATCGAATTAGATCTTTTACAAGCTGTGGACGACGCAGTGAAATATAGTTCATCAGCCGTGGATACCTTGGCAATATTTTATCAAATAAAAATTTTCTGGCAGCAGTTAGATTGGCCGGATATAGAAGGATCATATACATTTGTTGCAAAAATCATTAATGTGAGTATAGCTTTAATGTATATTTTATGTGTACTCTTTTATGTTCGTTATTTAGTTTAATACTTCTAAATATGTTATATGTTAGTTTCTCGCTAGTACTGTAGGATAGCAATTAATTGACGGGTATTGTATTTACATAAATAGCACACGCAGTGAATAGCATTGATAATCCTAATATAGTACAATATAAGGGAAGAACAAACTCTCACTTATGGTTAACGGTTGGTTTAAACATTTAATGTGAGCATTACCCAAAAGTCAGCAGCGTATTCTGCGCAGTTTTGAATATCTTAAAACATAGGAAGATGCGAAACGAATACAAAAAATACAAAGTCACAAAGCACTTGATTCTTTATGCTTATTTGCTAGAGCTTAGCTCATTCATACTTAAATTATAAAATCATCATCTTGAACCTACAACTATTTGCACATTTGTTTCTTTCATATTTTGTGCTCATCAAACTCTTTATTGAATATTCAATTCTTTTAGTGTTGGTATTTCATTGAATTAGAAAACTTTCAATGTATGTGTTGATACTGTGAGTCTCAATAAAGAACCCAGGCAAGAACCTGCAACCCAATCTAAAAGAGGATTCATAGTAGTACTAACATTTATTTATCTTTAGCTAAAATATTACCTTAGATGGCTTATAAAATTATATATGATACGTAAAAATACTGCTTTGCGAATAAATTTGAAATTACGGAATTCTTGTTTATATCTCTACAACATACATATAAAATTTTCGTGTCGCAGTGTTAGACACGATACTCCTCTGTGACGGCTTAACCGATTTTAATAAAATTTTAGGTGCATATTCGGTAGGTCTGAGAATAACATAACATCTATTTCCCACACCGAGAAGAGCACATGGGACTGATCTATTCGACAATTTTGAATTTTTAGTTCGATTTACTTGAAATTTAATACATAGGTAGCCTTTTGTTTAGTTTAGCAAGAACATTACTTTAGTTACCAGGAATAGTACCTAGGACCGATCTATTCGAAAAAAATCGTGTATATGGTTTGGATGAAAATTTATATATCCGTTTCCTTGCATTTACGTGCGTAAAAGCCGAGCAATTCCATAGCCTGCGATATGACAATAGTCATTTCAATGAATTATGCAGAATGGATGTATTGTATCCAAGTGAGAGAACAAATAACTCTCAGAACGAGACATGGGATAAATTTTTAGTACATATGAGAACTCGCTCAATGAGAAACCCTTATGTTGAAAACAATTTATAGTTTTCCCTGAATTGATAACGGGTGGACCGAAATAAAATTCAACTCTATTAAGAGAATCTCGGTGACCGATTCAGGCGAGATAGACTTAGTTACGATTCGATTCACTAGAAATTTTATGGTAGCTTATCGCTTAGATTAACATGCAGAAACTGGTACTTAATAATCTTATTTATGGTTCACTTTGCTTGATTTTTTTTATTTTCTTTTGTATGGGCTGTTTTAACTTTTCTTATCTGAAATCGTTTAGTTTAATTCAAGAAATTTTAAGAGAATCGCCCAAGTTGTCGTTGTTTGTTCTTGCTTGCCTACTACCATATTGATTCATTTGATAATTCATATTCAGATTTCAACTATCTACATATATTTTATTATAACTGTTATTGGGATTATGTAATATAATGTCATGTAGATCTGCTAGTTATATATATAATTGGCGCTTTGTAACCGCTGAAACGATTTTCGGACGAGCTCCTGATCAAATTTGTGCATCTGGATGATTTTCCAATAAAAGGAGGGACCTACAGATTATACTAAGCCGAACGACCGATGGTTTTTTTTATGAGGAGCTTTATTTCATGTCATAAATACACTCGGAGGGGTTAACATTCCCCGCCAAGGAGCTTCCACAATTAGAAATTTTAACTTAATTTTTTATTGACGTGATTTGATTTTCTATAACTTTTGGTTATTGGTCGACCCAGTATTTGAACCCGGTCCTTCCGAATGTAAGTACGCAATGCTAACCACTCGGCTACCGAAGAAGAATACATATACCCGGAGATGGTGATCCCGAAACCCCAATTGATGACAATGGAAAAGTTGTCCTGATACCCGACTATGAAGACCGATGGATTACCGGCCAAGCTATTCAAATGCGGCGGCGAATAACAGATCAGGATCCGATATGTCACCTTTAGACTTTTTTGTTCTCAGAACAAAATCGGTGATCAAAGGAACCATTTTGAGTCGATTGAAAACATCCAGGAGACCGTGACGAGGGTACTCGCGGACATCTCAGTCGAATCGTTGAAGAAGATGGCACAATTGTTGAATAATTTTGAAATATACACACAAATATGTCACACCTCGTTTAATTATTTCTATATTTTCTTGCTAGCTGTCAATATTGTAATGATTGCAGCCAATTCATTCCACCAAAGCTCTGTACTGCTACACTTGCCGTTGTTTTTCAAGTTTGGAAAACATTGCTGTTGCTTCGCGAATTGAAATCGTCACTATGACATTTTGCCACGCCAATTGAACATCCATCAGCTTATCCTCGCCAGGTGTGATCAGCCTCTGTTTGCTAAGAGCCGAACAATCACATATTACGTTCTCTATTGTCCCCACACGCTTCCAGAATTTAATGTATTTATTACCTTTTTATGTATTGTGACGTCAATAAGTAAATAAGACAATTTTAGTTATCCTTTTAAATTTGTGCCTTGTTTTTAGCCAAGCGAGAGTCGGAAATTCTATGAAACGTGTATATGAAACGTCTATTAGAGGAACGTGTAAAGATAAATTAAGATTAAAAACACATACATACGTGTTAAAATATTTATTGAACAAAATCAAAAATAATATTTGTATGAATGTACATATATCATAAAAGCGCCCATTAGAAATTTATGGAAACTGAACATTTATCGCGAAACATGATAAAAAAAAATAATATATAATGAAAAAGAAACATACTCACCTTCTCCCAAAAATTTGAAAAATATATAGAATAAATACAATATAAAAGGATGAATAAATAATGTAATAATTTGACAAACAAATAGTAAAATTAAATAAAAATAAATATAAAAATACTAAAATAAAATAAAGTTCAATACGAAAAGGATATACTGTAGACTTGCCAATCTTACCCATCTCAATCGGAGCCTCAAGTAGTCCAATAAAGTTTCACTATGATTCAAACAAATTTTGTAAATGATTTAAGGAATCACTATACTCTAAAGCAGGATTAGAAGCATTCGGAGGCCTTACATCACTGGTGGATTAGGCAAATGAAAAACTTCATCTATGTGACATGTTGATGAAATAACCCGACTGAAATGTGTAGAATTTTATGTCATCCCTCAGTGCGTACGCGGTGCCAACAATGACTCAGTTACGATTAGCTACTTGCCGGTAATCCAAATAACTCAGAACCCAAGCAATCGGAGTTGGAGCTCTCGATTGCAAAATGCATTGGCATTCTCTGCCGTAGGCTGCATCGAAATTGAAAAATTAATTTTCTATAATTTTGAATGTTGGTTAAGCCAGTACTCGAACCTTGGTCTTCATTACTCATCGGCGTGGGATGGAGAAAGACTCAAAGCCAACTTCTCCACATTTTACATCGAGTATTCACTCCGGAAAAGATTTCGAAATTCGAAAACGTTAAGCTCACTCACACCCGGAACTAAAACTCCGCATTCGATGGCGAGCCTATCTCTTAATCAATGAACTAACTTTGCGAAAAGGCACTTCTACCATCCAACGGCGAAACAACCAGCCATGAAGATAGACGTTGCAGAATCTTCAAAACTGCAACAACACTTCGAAGCAGACTCAGCACAGAAATACATTCCCATTAAGGGGCACACCTAGTGTAATGGCCTAAAAAAAGGTGATTTTTGGTAATTTCTTAAAAAAAAATACTTTATCAGTTATTTCAAAATTTTAAGAATATATTTTTAAATGTTTCAACAAAATACAGTGAAATTTTTGAAGAAAAAAATTAAATATTTTTGAAGTTATAGTCGATCTCCAACGGCGCGAAAAAAGGTCCTTCTCTGCTGCACTGATTCCGGCCTTCTCCGTGGATGAAATCTAAAATAAAAATTGTCGATAATATAATAATATATGTAGAACATGTAAAAAAATTGGATAGTGATCGGATCATTTCACTGCAGCAAATTCGGAAAATGCTATTTCGAGAAAAACGGCTCTCTACCTGCCGAGCGGCTGCTCTTTAAATTTCTATAACTCAAAAACTATTTGAGATATCGATTTGAAAGATCGATTTTTTTGAAAGTTCACACTAGGTGTGCCCTTTAAGGAGACTCATTCATCAACGTGAACCCAAATCTTCAAAATAGCAACAATAAGCTATTCCATCCAGCTATCAAACACACCAGGCTCATGAAGTGGAAAAGGTCCAGTATGACTGCCAAACCCAAAGAATCTTTCAGATATTCCTACTCCCTTCCCGTAAATGTTTCCCCCGCCTAATACTATTCGGTCTTCTCATTCTCACAACATATTCTCACTCATTATCGAATTTACATCAATACGTAATTCTTTCTTAATATCACACTCTCACTAATCATGCTTACTTACTTACTCTACTGGCGTAGACACCGCTAGTGTACATCAAATTGAAGAAATCGCACGACGGTGACTCTTTGTCTGGTACGAAACGACTCGGAAAGGTTCTTCCCGATTCCCACTGCGCTTCTGGTGTTGTCTAGCGTTAGCTTACACGGCCGTATAAGGTTTGCGGGGATAACAAATTTAGACATAGCGGCGTAAAGGCAGCTCCTATTCGTCCTGTCGAAGGTGGTTTTTAAATCGACGAAGAGGTGGTGGTTGCCGATCTTATTTCCAAGCTTTGGCGCATGGTGAATATCTAGTCCATGGTTGACTTACCAGGTCTGAAGCCACACTGATAAGGTCCGATCAGTTTTTTGACGGTGGGCTTCAGTCTTTCACACAACGCTCTACAGGACCTTATAGGCGACATCAAGGAGACTTA